GTTTGATTTTGGGCTCATGAGCCACGTACAAATACGGGATAGGACCTCGGGTTCTGCAAATAATGCCAAGGAATCGATGGTAGAAGTTCGAGTCACTGCCGAAGAGGTCTGAATAACTGGTTTTCCGTCGACGTCATTATTACTGTGATCACCAGCATCTCTGGTATTTTCTTGGAGGAGATCTTCGTCGTCACCTACATCGACGAAACAGAGGGTGATATCCCGTACCGCAGTGGAATGTGTGAGGATTGACGAAAGGTCTTCGAATGATTCAAAAACAACACAATGGATTCCAATGTGTGTTAGTTTCGGTGATTTCCACGTAGTGAAGAGAGCGTCGCGTACGGGCTTTGCAAGTTCTGTCATTTCAATCCTCGAATCGTCAGTTAGAGAGCCTGAGACGTAAAAGCGTTCCAGATTAACGAGGAGGGGAAGGATGTGCGACAAAGAGTCATCATCTTCGAGCCAGCCGAATGAGGTTTCCCATTCGATATCGTCGACATTGCAGATGCGGAGGTCTTTAATGAGTTGTGGAAGATAAGGTGATGACTGCAGAACATTATTGAGCCGCTGAGCCATCGTGAGGCTTTGAGAACCTCCAGCATCCACATCTGCTGCTTTTGGAGTTTTGTTACCGTTCGAGGCGTTCTCGTCCGAACGTTTTGCGCGAGTTGGGTTCAATCTGACACATTCGAAGATGAATTTTTGGCAAAGAGGTCGAAATGAGCGAGAGGTGAGGCAACATTGCTTCAATGCCTCTCTGTCGTTCCAGAGATACTCGACAATCGCGTCGATTAGCTCTTGGGGTAATTCCAAACTTCTAGTGCCCTGCTCTGTGTTTGCGAGGGGATCCATCCGAATTGAGTACGGTTACAGTTTCTCTCCAGGTGAGGTGGTCCTAGTACAAGAGAAACGAGCGTCCTCTATAGACCTTGAAAGGAAAGATACTGTGTAGATCTGGATAGATTCAGAGGCTGATTAACAACTCACTTAGATTGGCCTTCGAGCCCACAATTTCTCGAGTTGTGGAGTAAAAACCTTATGCTGTTATCTATTTGATCCTCTCTTTATGAAATTGTCGTATTCAACCCCGTTGATGTAAACTCTTGCCTTGCAGTTCCCCGTGGTTCTCAGAGGAAAATGGTGCACAGCAGGAATGCTGCGACTGCTGCGACCCTCAAATATCATAATTACATAAGCGAGCGTAATGACACGTGGACACGGGACTACAGGCCCGAGTCAAGCGCAAGGCTTAAGCTTAAGCCCGTCTTGAGCCCGAACCGAAAACATGACTCCGACTTATCCCGAAACAACCAACTTCTGAGCGCCGAGTGACAGCAGTCACTCTGCCTTTTTGTGTCGCAAACTACAGAGACGAAGATCCAGAAAGTCCAAGCGAGAAGATGTGAAAAGATTCAACGAAATGACTCCGACGAAGGATTGACTGGGAGAGGGTTTACTGTAACTCGAGGGGTCTAAGGAAGACCTACATAACTTGAAGCTCGTTTGTGGCATAGGTACGATTGCCTCTGACTGGATCTCACTGGCTGATCGACTGTGATATATTCTTCTTCTTCGGCCGATGGCTCATTCGCGCAGCAATAGTATATAAATTTCCCCTTCAACGATACCTTTTTTTGTCCCACTTTACGAAAACATCGAAACCCACAGGCTCAGAGTGAATCAAAACGATGAGAATATTCATATGGGTATAGTCTGTTCATATAGATACAGCTTACTTCAATGTCGAAGACGCCACTTTAAGAGGGCAGCCATATGTGACGCCACCACATCTGATGGTGTCCCTGTTTCAGCCATGGACCGGTACGTCGAGAAACTGAAGGGTTTTTCAACTTTTTTTGGACATGACTATCCACGGAAACTTGTTGTCGCCTTGATGACTTCTCTGTTTTGTGAGTTCTCGGTGTTGCTCGCATACGGAACTGAATGGACTTATATCTGTAGTCCAGACGAGTTGCTTGTCAGCTCAGGCGCTCACCATCGTAAGGTCCCCTCCTACGAGCCCTAACACTTCCGCTCAGTAGCAAGCTGAGTCTTGACCCATAATTGACCACGTAACTGTTCGGCTTGTGTGTAGAGCTCGAGGACGCGCCTACGTGCACCAGTGGAGGCGGGGAGGAAGTTAACCGCCCGAGCTGCGAGCAGGAGTATATTTAGAAATTCTAGCTACTAATAACTTACGAATCCTCTAGGAACACATCGGAGGTCACGTTGACACTGAACTTCGGTCAAAGATAGCAGCGAATGGCATCCATCAAATCCCGACGGGTTTGGCTCTCCGACGTTGTACAACATCCGGTGCCCCACAGCTTCGGATAATCCAGAGCCGTTTATGTGTTGTCCAAGACATCTGCGCGGTCCATTGTCACCTTCTTGCACGTAGTGGCCTGTCACTTCTCGATTACCTTGTTTTTATTTTATCGCGTTTGTGAGTATAAAAGGAGATGACACTACGGTAGCCCAAGATTGCTTTCCGTCCCCTACCGCTCGTGTCCAGTACCATCGTACTCATTCGTGTTCTCCCTCCATAGCCACCTAGTATGATATCTTCAGGCACGGGGAATGTATTCTGTGACCTTAACTCCACTATCAACGAATCGCACGGTAGACCTTCTGCCATCTAATCCCGAAAGAGCACTTAATCTGACTATGGCTTTAGGCTCTATTATGAGGAGAGCAAATATCTCGAACACTCACGCCGTACAGCCAGAAGGCCCGAATGACACTTTCTGTTCTTTCCCTGGTTCACTTGACTTGGTTCCACAGCAAATGTTGTCTACGTCGTGTTCTGTTCTTCATTTCGTGGCTAACTACACTTTTCCAGCATGCCACACGTTAACTTTGGAACCCAGGAGTGGACTCATCGACCTCAAACTAACGCGGCTGCCTGTATTTCTCCCACCGTCCCGAAACAAACGCCACACTACTATAACGGGGGTGATACCGCGGTCGGTTACACTTATGATGAGGTGCAAGCTCCAGTATCATCGACTCATCACGCTCTTGTTACTCCGCCGGGTCCACCGGGTAGCTCAGAGTCCACAAGAATGCTGTGCTCCGACCAACAATTTCCTTACCTTGCGGATGTGCAAAATCCCTACTACACCACCATCGTCCCTATTGACATCCAAAATTGGAATTTGTACTTTACCTCAGACTCCGGGAACCAACAGTGGCATGATGGTACGGTACCAGCTCCTTCAAACCCAGGAGTTTCTAGGACTGATCTGCTAGTACCACATCGCCCCCAAGTAGGCTCCCAAGCGATGACTCTCGCTGCGTTGTCAAACCGTAAAAAGAAGCCAATTCATTTCTGTCAGATTCGTGGATGTACCTCTCGGGGGTTCACTACAAAGCAGAGTTTTGAATGTGTGTAGTCGTTTTTTTTTTTCAAATGGATACTGAACATGGGTTTTTGATTTTTTTTTGGTTTGGTTGTTATTTAGATCATCAACGGTCCCATCAGAACATTCGACCGTTTAAATGCTCTGATTGCTCGCGTGGGTTTGGTTCGCGGTCTGACCTGTTAAGACATCAGAGGAAGTTGAAAGGATCGTGTGATTTTGTTTCCAACCCGAGGAATGCCAATGGTTTGGCGTGATGAGTGGAGGTTGGGCTGTTGTGGACCTGGTCGACCGTAGAGCGTGAGCGACTGATGGCTCAAATTTTACTGGATTTTTAGGACTAATTAGCTGCCACTTACATAAATAAACGTAGTTTATAAATCCCTATATGTACTGTATGATACTGTCGTTAAAATTAATCTAGACTCTGGTAGACTATCATCAAGTATAGTATGTTCTGAATTTCGTCGTTTGTTTCGAGGCGGAAGATGAAGCCTTGACAAAATTGAGAACTGTATCAATCAATTCTGGAGGTAGTTGTTGAGTTCCAGATTCTCTCTCTGGAGCCAAGTCTGAGATCTAATCTGAAAGTTCAATATTCACAGGGCTAGTGGCCTGTAGTACTCTCATGACTATCCATCCATTATTATCAGTCTTTGTTATAATAGAAGTTGTGCTTTGCAAATTACTCACATGTAGGTACCAGTGGTAGTCTACACGCCAGATGTAAAGCAACAGCAAAGTGGCTTAGAATCCTGTAGTTTTTAGCGAAATATTGAGCTCGAACACCTCAGCCGGGAAATGGCGGTCGAATTGCATGAGCGTGTGAATAAAATCGGCAGACTGCCAGTCCGGCAGGCCTGAAGCTCCAAGCAATGACAGCCTTCTCCTTCTTCCTCGTTTTAGTGTCCTGCAGCCAATTTTATCTCCTCATACAGCTGCCCAATATGCGTCTCCAACAAATCTTGGCTGACTCACATCGGAGTATTCCAAAGCACCTCAATCTCGGAACAATGCTGAATCAGGCTCCGAGTCCTCTCAACTGAGCTGCGTTTCTCCCATCGTCCCGCGAACGCGTGGATATGCTGTGTGTACTTTGACTGTTTGATTAACGACTCGAACTCGGAGCAGAGTTTCCAACTCCCCTCGGCCCTGACTAACTTGAAGAATTGTAATTGATCATAGCATTGCACATATGTAGTGGCAGGGTGATATGGTACCAATTGAAGCTCCCTCGATGGCTCCGATACTGCTCTAGTGTCAGAAGTTCAGGACGGCGCCAGATAGGTGTGGAAGCACAGCTTCAGGTTAGTCGAACCTGAAAAGAAAAACAACTTGTTTTCTGTCAAGCTCTTTAAGTTTTATGTACATCCAAAGCTCCGAATGTGTATCCTGTTTTACTTTTCTTTCTCGGAGAAGGGTACTAAAACATTAAAGGAACGATCAGAATGCCAAATCATCATGCCCTGATTGTTCGCCGTGGGTTCAGCTCCCGATCTGACCTATCAAAGCTGAAAGTCAACGGTCGTGCACTTTCGTATCTTTCGATTTGTCCGATTATTTTTACAATCAATTTCTGTTTGATCTGAGTTATTGGTCAAAACGAAATACGGGAAGCGGTTCGTAAAAAAGGACTGACCCCTACCCGGATTGAACGGATGACCTTCTGGAAACTTAGGTATCTAACTGGAATCAGACGCTCTACCGCTGAGCTAAGGGATCTTCTTAGTCTGTAGACCTTATAAAATTCGTATCCGGCTTGGGCCGGTCGATCCCTTGTGTCCGGCGGATTTTCCCAAATGGCGTCATTTCCCCAAATTTTAGGCCGAGACACCAGTGACCAAACAATAAACAGATAGTGTCCTCAGACTTTCCGACGTCCATCATCGTCAACAAAATCGACGACATCCATTCCCTCGTCGTGCGCAGAGCAAGTTCATCGCCGAAGCCCAACGGGGAGTCGCAACATTCAGAGCTTCTGCTTGGGCTCTAAGGCAGGAAAAGCTCTGTACAAAGGACAGGTTGGTCGTTACTAGTGACTCCACCCGTTCACTAGCTCATGGTCAACACTGTGATAGGCGTCTAGCTCAGGTGCAGAGAGCTTAAGTCACCTTCAAGGGCGTTAGGCCTATTCACTCATTCGGGATACCTCAACTATCATCAAGGCCAATACCTCCGTGCATTACCTGTATTCATCCAGTAACGACCGTTTCGACGACTATTAACGACTTAGCCAACAACCCTCAACAATGTCGACAACAGCTTCATCATCGCTATCAGCATCGACCAACCCAGTTTCAATCCTAACTCTACTCCCAACATCTCCTTACCTACTTGCATATACTCTACCGCTGCTGTTCTTGTCCCTAATCTTGACATTCTCCGGAGCGTTTCTGACTCTGGACCGGACAAGGTTCTTCAAGCAAAGGGATTCGTATGCTGATGTGGATATGCCTGGTGGGATGGGATCGAGAAGAGGGAAATTTGAGAGGTGGTTTAAGATGGAAGGAGGATTAGGAGGTGTTATCGGTGGATGGTCATTTGGATGTGAGTAGGAACTCTTCCTTGACATTGAAAAGGGTCGGGTTGGTTTCCCTATCGACTTGCGTTGTCGACTCCCGTTCATTTCCTTGCCCTCGCACTTTTTTCTTTCATTAACTGACCCTTATCTTCGCAGTCCACCTCACAACCTTCCTTGCACTCGCCATTCCCTCCATCCCTAATTCCAAGATATCAAAACCACTATCGCCAGCGTCGTTTCTTGCCGTATACCTGATCACATCGCTCGCTACTGCATTCCTAGGCGGTCGTTTTAGATACGCCGCTCTCACTATGGCAGGCCTCACAGGCGGCATTGCCTTCGCCCTCGTTCTTGGCGTCATCGCTCATCCAACTCTTTTAACTCGCCACGTCTTCCTCGCAATCACTACCCCCATTCTCTTGCTCTTCACCTTACTACCTTTGGTCAAGTTCCAACACGGAGCTTTACGGTTCGCAATGTCCTCAACCGGTGCTTTTGGATTGGTTACCTCGTTCGCGCTCTTGTCGTCTTTGAAGACAGGGGAACCTGCCGCCCAAGCAGGAGTGTGGTGGTGTCATCTGTTTGTTAAAGATGGGCTTGGGTGGAACACTCCGACGGAGAGGGGCTTGTCCGCGGGTTATTGTTTGTTTTTGCTCGTGGGATCGGTGGCTGATTGGGCTCTGAGGAAGAAGTTCGGAGAGTGTCCTGATGAGGTATGTTCTTTAGACTTCACGCTGCGCTCGAGCATTGCTTCTTTTCACTTCGCTTCAAGGGCGACCTTTTTCTGATCCCTTCTTGGTTGAAAGACGGCTCACCATCTTTTATATAGAAATGGGACTCATATCTCGCATCCTTCACCACCAACGGCAACCTTCCTGACCGCGCAGGCACCTACAAACCATTCACATCCATCTGGGACCGACTTTCTAAACCTCATGCTACCGAAAAGGATCCGATGATTTTCCCTGACGACACCAAAGGTCGTTCTTCGCCTCTTCCTCCCTATGAATTCCCAATCTCGCTTAAAGACGGCGGAGGGCAGCTTAAGAAACCCAAGGAAAGACGCCGTCAGTCTACCGCTGGAACTCGGAGGAACCGAGAAGCCATCAAGTTCCGTCCTCTAGGTGACGACGATGACTCTTCCGACGACGATCAGGACGAGGTGTGGCGGAATAACAACAGACCCTGGCTTCGCCATGCGTCTTCTGCGACATCGTCTACGCCTACGCTAGTTGGAGGACAAGATTCTTTGGGGTCCATGGGGGGTTTTAAAATGAAGAAGGTGTATGATTTGGATCCGTCGAAAACTGGACAATTACGGAAACCTCCTCCGATAAGTTTTAGCTCTTCACCGAAGCCGGAGTATGAGATTGATTATGATAAAGAGATCAGAGAATTGAAAGAGAAGAAGGTTAAGGGGATGGGAGATGGAGAGGTACCAGATTATTCTGACCATTCGGATTTTGAGGAGGATATCACTGCCATCAAGGAAAAGGGGAGGGAGAAGCGGGTTTCTGGTTCGTTTGAGAGGCATAGAAAGCGGTCATTGGCTTCATCTTCGAATGCTTCTGGGTCAACGGTTGTTGAGCACCATTCGCGGCCTCCACTCCCTCCGGTGTCATCGATGCCTGTACCTGCTACACCTTCGTTGATCAAGGCTTTGGATAGGGTAGCGATGGCTCAGAAGGATGCGTTTGGAGGTGAAAGTTCTGGGATTGGCTTTTCGGGCTTACCTCCCGTGAGTGAGGAGAGAAAGGAAGGGAGAGGGCAGAAGTGGGAAGTGTTTTGGAAGGAGGTTAGGGAGAGGAGCTCGAGGGAGGATTTGAAGTAGTTCCTCGTTGCTTCAGGCACTTGGTGTTTTCTCTCTTTTTCCGAGCTTGCTTTTTCCCGTTTCTCGATACCTTACCTTCTCCTTATACCTTCTTGGTCTACCTCTGGGTTTTTTTCCCCACTAGTGCTGTTGCATTGTCGCTCTATCTTACATTTTGAATTGGGATTTGTTGGACACATTATAATGATCCCCCGTTTACGATTTTGATTTCTCTCTTTTTCTTGATAACGACCCTCGCTTACTTTTGACGATCCTTTTCTTGTTATGACCCCGTAATGATCCAGTGTTGTATGTAGTGCTAGTGTGCTTGTTTACTTTTTAGCTTATTGGTTTATCTAAGGATATTTTTTTGCTTCTCAATTGTCAGCGTTTCAGCCTTGTAGACCGGTAGATGGTGGATCACCTATCTAACCCCTAGATAAGATTAGATAAGGATGTAGGTACCGTAAGGTACTTGCACCGCTTTCCAGTTCAGATGCAAAACGCAAATAGAGGCTTTAAGGTGGACGCGAACTCGAACCAGAACCACTAACAGCTCTACGGGTCTGTGGACAAGTTGACTCTGGTTCTCTGTCGAGCCAAGTTCATCATTAACTTGCTTGCTATTGGTGAGTCGAGTTTTAGTTGTGACCGTACATCTGCAGAGATTCAAAACAGCACTTTTCCCTAGTACCAATAGGACAAATTATCGATGGAGAGTAAGTGCTTTATCAGTATACAAGATGCTCCGATTAAGTTTTTTTTAGGTGGGATGGACTTGTCTCTAGTGGGAGGACTCGGAAGTCGGGAATTACCCCAAGAACTGATCGATGGGATCCTCAATTTCCTACGGGACGACCAGAAAGCACTGCGGCAATGCTGCCTCGCTTCGCGTTCCTTTCAGCCCCCGTGTCAGAAACTCATTTTTGAGTGTATCCGACTGCACTCAGTTGTGTCCGAAGATGGAGGTTCTGATCAAGGCAAAAAATTCACAATGGCACAGCGGCTTCGGGACATCCTCGTCTCGTCACTACATCTCGCACCACTTATCAAAGAACTTCGGATCATGAACACTCTGGATGAGTCAGGTGCAGAAGGGAATAGACTCGGATGGCTTGAACAAGATACTTCATTGCCAGTCATTCTTCCCCTCCTCGTCAACTTGGAGCGTTTCTATTTATCGGGCGTCTCCACCTATGGGGCCAAGATCGATATAGAATCTCTTCCGAGGGCTATACAAGATGCGTTGTTTTTAACTTGGAAGTCACCGAACCTTACACGCATAGGACTACACCGTGTCCGCTTTGCAACGTTTGAGGACCTTTTCTCGGTAATCTTGCATTCCCCATCAGTACGAGACATCACTCTCTGCTACGTCATTTTTACGAGAGACGACGAAGGGCGCCAGGGAACCACTGCCAATGTTCCTGGTAGAGTCTGTGGAAAACCTATCTCCCCCCGTGCGGAACAAGCTCGTATAATTAATTCGCTGTCATTTTACGGGGACGGGTCCACAATATCTTCACGATTTTTTGCCGCATTGCTTTCAAATATGGAACTTAACAAACCTTTGTCGGCACTGCGCAAGCTATTTTTCCCCATCGGAGTCGCAGTTCAAAACGATTTGTCTTTCCTTCGTCAGTTTTTGCGGATTTGCCCTGCTCTCGAGGAGCTTCATATTTCAATGTGTGCGTCAGACCTTTTTCTTTGTTAAAACAGGTTTTCTTTTAGTACCCGTCGACTTTCTAGTTACCTGGCTCGCTTGGGGAACAACATTTGACAAAGCACCAGTCGATATTTCCTTCTGCCGTGTCATTCATTTGGCAGTGGACCTCTGGAAGCGGGATATTCAAACCTCAAGCCATCCCACTTTGCGTTGGTGGTGTGAGATTCTCACTTCATTTCCATCTCTAGCTCTCAAGGAGTTTGAGATATGGGCGGTGGTCAGCTTTGGGAGTACTGCCGATACTCTTAATATCCTTGACCGATGGGAATTTTTACCGGAGTGGGAGCGTCTGGACGGGATACTAGCCTCTAAGGACCAGTCTATCAATTTGAAAATCCGAATACTATGGGCAGAGGAAGGCAACTCAGGCCTTTTTTCGAAGGAGTTGGAGCAACTCGAGCGCAACTTTTCGAGAATGAAGGATAAAGGCAGATTGGAGATCGGTTGTGTCCATCCTGGTGATTCTATACTCCTTCGCGTCTCCACTAAAAAGTGGTCAGGGCTTTTCTGATTCTCTACTGTTGTTAGATGATATTTACAAGCATTATGGCGTAAACTGGACATGAGAGGCCGCAGATGATTCTAGTATCGACACGGCGGTTTTTTTGCTTTCTCTGTAACGTCCAGAATGTTCATTGACGATTTCAGTTTTATGTAAACATGAC